TTCTTCAACCCCAGTCTCTTTACAACCTCTAGAAGGAGAAATTTCACCCAATGTTTTCTTCAACCCCAGTCTCTTTACAACCTCTAGAAGGAGAACTTGTGTGACACTGTGACATAAAGCACTTGACCACAAGGTCAGTTTGAACCACAGGGTCAGTGGTTAAAACTCACCAGCTGCTCCTTGGAAACCCTATACAGGGTCACTATGAGTCAGAACCAACTCAGCGATACTTAACAACAAAAGTTCATTATGTAGAAGATTCTTATATTTATTTCTAGCCTTGACCTCAAAGGTTTGTTATTTGCAGCTACTTGTTAGACATGTTTACATGTCTTTATTAACTTTCACTTGAAAAGTATTTATCTATGATAAAAATTACCTGCACTCTGGTTGTAGAATTTTTTAAGTCAAATTTTATAAAAGACAGATATATTATTTTTTTACATGATCTCCTTGCTTTTCAATACACTTTCACCATCTGTCAACAAGCTTTTCGTATTCCCTTATTTTAAAATGTGTTAGGCTTTGCTGTGAGCCATGAATGTACCACTATCTTCACTTCTTCATCAGAGGGGAATCTTTGTACTGGAGGGGCTGCTTTCAGGGGACCAAACAGGTGAAAGTCCAGTGAATCAAGAGATGGACTACAGAGAGAATGCTCTAACACTTCAAAAGGTAGTTTTTGCAGCGTGTCAACAGTGTGGACAGAGGTGTGTGGACGTGCATTGTCGTACAAGATCATGATGCCCTTGGATAGTAGTTTTCTGAGTTTAATATGAAGGTCAGGCTTCAGCTCTTCAGTGAGCATTTTTTTGTCATGAGCACTGTTAATTAATGAATGTTTTTCCTGATAGTGTTCCAATATTGCCCTCTGAGGAGCCCAGAAAAATGTATAAACAATTTCCAGTTGATGGTTGACTTTTGAACTTTTTCTTGGTTGGTGATTGAAGAGGTTTCCATTCTATACTCTGCTGTTTACTCTCAGTCTCATAGTGATGAGTGCATGTTTCATCACCAGTAATGATTTTCAAAAAGAAACCTCTACCTTTCTTCGAGTGCCGGTCCAAATTTAGTTTGTACATGTCCAAATGCTTCTCTTTATGCTCTCCCGTGAGTTGTTTTGGTACCTATCTCACATAAACTTTTTGAAACCCAGGTCTGTCATGGATTATTTCATAGGCAGAGCGATGGCTGGTTTGCAGAGAGTTGCCACATAATTCACTGTCACTTGTCTATTCTACAGAATCATCTAAGGTGCATGCTCAGTGTTGTCATCAGCCATGGACATGGACGGGCGTTTTATAACCACAATGCAGTTAATTTTTTATTCATCTTTATATAATGAAATTCCTAACCTTCTGTCGCCTTCATACTCCTTTGATTCCTCTGCCTTGCACCAAAAAACAAACAAAACAAAACAAAAACAAAACGCGTTGTCTGGTTCCCTATTATGTTAATGGTGCTATAATTTTCAACTGAGTTACCCAGGGTCAGTGCCCTGATCCTTACTTCCCTCTCATCCCTTTCCTGCTCATTATGTGCTCAGTCACCATATAATGCTGATTTTCACATTTTTGAACATTTTATTTTGAACAAGCTCAGACACTCATCAAAGTTCTGTTATATAATGAATATTCTTGTATTCACTATCTAGATTCTCTTAGCATTTAGCTATATTTGATTTGGTGTTCTGGTGTAGAGCTGTAGGATCACCACAAGGTCTGTGATTCAAGCCCACCAGTTGCTCCTCAGAAACCCTATATAGGGTCACTATAAGTCAGAACTGACTCAACGAGACTTAACAACAACGTTGATAATTTATATATCTTTTGTGAAATGTCAGCTCACATCTTTTGACTTTTTATTTTGGGGGTTGTATTTGTCATTTTGTTAATGAATTCATTTTATATTCTGATTGCCAGTCTTCTGTAGGTGTGTTTTGTAAGTATTTTCTTGACTGTTTTCCTCCTGGTGCTTTTTTTTTTTTCTTAAATGTTTTATTGTGAATTATGTGATAGTTGACATGGGAGAACATTAGTTTTACATTCATTCTATCGTATATCGTCTCATTGCCATGGTTGCAATCCTTCCCCCGTACCCCCAAGGTCTTCAGCACACAGTCGCTCTCCCTCTCTGGATCTAAAGTCTCCAGCTGCTCCATCGCTCCACGTCATC